GTTTTAGTAAGAGGTTTAAGGCACGTTTAACACAATTAGGGGTCATATTATTATAAGCGCCAAGATTTGTTACAAGAGTATCAAATACTAAAAAGAAGGAGGGGAGATTATGACGATATGTTTGGTAGTTAGTACGAAAGAAGGAGCTAACATCACCAGATCTCTTATCAACCATCCACCTTTCCAATAAGGATTGACCGTCTGGTATGATTTAGTATAAACACTTAAACAATACGTGAAGCCTTCTCTGAGAATACCTCTCGGCCCACACATCGGTGGTCAGGACTCTGTTGACGTAAGACACGCCTCTTGATAACTTGTATCGGCGGACATGACAGAGTCACACCTCGTGTGTCGGCCATATTGGATCAATACACAACGAGGCTTTCCCTTCGGCAACGAGGGGGCGGAGAGTGTTGACTTATTGTGCCGAGAGGGCTGTTGAATGATCGAGTGATCCTGGTCCACAGCCCATGTGATCGGGGCTCACTGTCGCCATGTTGTGAGTGGAACAGGCGTGGAAGTGGCTTTTTGGTACTTCGCTACCCCAAGAATTACAAAGTTCTATCTGCTCAGTTCCTGGTTTTGAGAAGTTTATCGTTTAATTTTAATATTTAGAGTTTCACAACATATCGATTTTTTTTTTCGAATGAAATTCTTTAAATTTCTTGATAACAGCTCCGATTAATCTTACGATTTTGATAGAGGATAGATAGAACATTCCAGTTTCTGACCTTAGTCTTAGTACTTTAAAACGGCTTAAAATGTCGGATAGAACTGTGTAATTCTAAGGTAGCGACTTAGTGAAAAAGTTTTTGTTTGTTGATGTTTTTGTTTTTAAAAATTAAGTCACAACAAGGTTGTCGGCGTTTGTGGTGTAGTGGTTAGGCGATTTGTTTTCGAGCGCTATGGATTTAAATTCGATCGTCGTGTGGAGAGAATTAATTTGTAACAAGTGTGTACATTTTTGTACACTGTACGGCCACCCAACTGCCGGGACGTTGTATTCATCCCAGCTTGGGTTAGTCGTGACAGCCAAAACCGATGTCTGCCTTCAAGATTATCTAAATTGTATTGATTGAGGTGTAAAAGACACATACCC